ATACCTAACAGAACAGATGCGATGATACACTCAGCCCATGATTCAATTAGATTCATGTTACTGGGTCCACTTTTTGGTATTCTCACAATTCGAACAAAATTCAAATAAAAATGACTACAATGTAGCACAATATATGAATGAAACTACTGAAACTAGAACTGGTAATCACTTTAACAAAATGACTGAGCTACAATACTTTCTGTGGTACCCTATGGCCATCAATGAGAGTGAACACTGAACAGAAACAAACCATCACCAGTGCACTGATATATCTACAGCCCTTTTAGTTCAGTGTGTCTGTGACTTGTAAATGATCAAAATATGATCTTAGAAACTGTGTGTCCATGCACTTTGATCTGGTCTTAGCTATCTAAACTCTGGGGATGTTGCTGGTTGGCCACCAGAGAGGGCTGTGCATCCACTGAGCTGTGTAAAGTGGCCCCCTGAGAGGCTGGCATGGCCACTGAAGCAGAGATAAAAGCTCATCTTCGCACAGCCCCAACCCATAGCACCCCTGCCAATACAGCTTTTTACCCTCCATCATATTTTGAGTTACCTTAGGGAGGTACCATCATCTCAGAATCACTCAAAATGTTCGACTCGAGCTGTTTCTCAATAGCTTTTTTAATGGACCATTACATCGTCTATTTGTGCACCGATGGCAAGTTGCATTTGTCATGTTTCGCTTTTGTGTTTAGGACACAGTCTATACATAAACAGAAATAAGAAAATAAGTGTTTGTGGCAGACTGTCAGAAACAGTTGTAATAATTATGACCAAAAGTCTGCAGATGATCCATTACCAAGCCATTAGGCTGTGAGTCATGCTAGCAGCAGAGGTCAGTTGAAGAACGTTAGCACAGCTAGTCATGAAGAGTGAGAAGCTGAGTGCTGTTTGCACACATTTCTCTGCAGTGAAGACAGCAGGAGAAGAAGCTTTAGCTGCCACGGCGCAGGGCTGGGCTGAGGCCGTAACTCTAGAGCTCCACTCTGTTTAGACCATTAAGAGCAGGTCCCAGCACCCAGCGCTGCTGCCATAGCCTGATTTGGAGCTGAACCAGGTGAAAGGGTTGAGCAGGATAGTGAGAATTGTCCTAGTTCTAGCCTTGGACGAATCAGGGCAGAGTGAGACCAGCACATATAAAATGCATGTAAGTACATAGGCACATATATACAATTTGCTGTCCCCAATACTTTCTTTTAACCCAATTTTCCCCCTAATTTAGTTATGTCCAATTCCCTCCCACCAGCTAGGTCTCCTGTTACCATACAATGCTGGGAGGAGGCAAGGCTAGCACGAGCTTCCTCCGAAACATATGAAGCTGTATATTTTCAAACTGCCACTAAAGCCCTATTCGGATTGGATTACTTTATCAGGGGGACAGCTGTAAAAAGAAAAATGTACACATCTCTTCAGTGATAATATTCTCACATCCGAGTGGCAGTGAAATTACTACAAGAGGCGTGAGTTTTGGCCTATAATTTCTACGAATCTGGATGTCTGCATCACACCTCTTGTGTAGCTGTGTGTGAATATAAAGTGTTTTATACATATCTGACATTATAATAATCCCCTTAATCAGCCTGCAAGATCGGAAAATGTTTAATATGGATGCACACAACCCAGAAAGAGAGAGTAAAAACGGCAAGTAGCTCCAGTTAAAACACTATTTTGTCCAACGCGATGGAACATCTGCCAAGAAAATTCGCCAAAATCAGACAGATTTGTATTCTACTAAATTCATCAGTTGCCTGCTTTGTTTGGTGAAAAATAGTAGTTAACTCAGTCTTTAATTTTCTCATGGGAGGAGGGGGAAAAACACAGACATGGCCAGCAATAAAATCATCAAGTAGCACCTGTAAAAGAGGAAATAATCCCAGGACCCCTTGTAAATTTAATCCAGTCCGAATTGGCATCACTGTTCCTTGGAGGAGAAAACTAACCACCAATTTTGTTATGTCAATTATGCTCTCTTAGACTCCCGGCCGCAGATGGCTGTTGCATCGCCAGCGAATGAACAGTATTGGGAACGGTAGCTCTCAAGTGCCAAAACCATTTAAGTGCTGTGAGATCATGAGCTTTCAACACTTAGATGGTCGCGCCACTTGAGAGCCCCTGTCCCCAATACTATTTATGGTACCGCAACATTCAATCATGTTTCACCCTGAACTCAACAATCTCTCACTCAGTAAACATATCACAACACTGTAAATAAACTTAGTATCTAAGGCTTTCAAGACTGTAATCTGCCTACAGGACTATCATTAATATCATCAATACTGCAGTACCTGCACTGCGCTCACTGAAAAACATTACTCATCTAACATGCATCATCTGCTCTTTATTTTCTTGCAGCAATGCAGTAAGTATCTTTGATGACAGAAAAAAACATCTTGTTTCTGACCAAAACCACCTGAACATGTATCACATCATACTATGACCTAATATGCTTGCTAGCTGGCCACCCCTGTAAGCAGATGTAACTAAATTAATTACTGTAATTATTTTTAAGCTTTTCACCACTGTATTGAAATTGGTACTTTTTATCTATTTATTATACTTAAATAATATAAACCTTGTTTATTACTTACATAGTCTGTTTTGTTTGAGAATGTATACCAGCTGGATTGTCTAATATGCAATATTTGTGATCTGTGCAACAGTCTGTTGTATATGAGTAGAATGACAAAGTTGAGATTATCAATGGCTCTTCATACGTCATCCCTACTGTCAAGATTAAGCCATATATCCCCACAACAAACCCTGTCCAATCACAAACTGGACTGGACAGACTTCCCACAGCAGAGACAGTAAATAAGAACAGACTTAGTCTGTCAGATGTCAATCAAACATCTTGACTATGAACAGTAGCTTCCCCCCTTAGTCTGCTTATCAGCAAGTGTCCCAACAGCACTGGAACCAGCATTTAAAACACATCAAGTTAATTTCCAGTTTTTTATTTCATCTGGTTTCATAATCTGGTTTATCCCTGTATTTTCAAGTGCCTTAAGGCCCTTCTATAATTCCTTCATTTCTGATTCTAAAGCCGATAGAAAGAACTAATCACAGAGTCAAGCTATAGACCATATGTTGAATGTTGTGTATCACACAACAAGACGTGTGCTCTTATAAACTGACATGCCAGCTTGGCTTTGTTGAATGATGCATAAATACAGAAGCATGTCGGCCGCTCTGGCTCCTCTAAAGTCCTGACCCCGGCATTATGGGGATTAAAAACTTCCATCATGACCAGCTTTGCTCCTGTGTGCTGTCTGAGGCAGTCAACTCAGCAGCGGGCCCAGAGATGCCTGCTTTATCTGTCCCTTTACATGCAAGACTGGACACACGCTGAGAATTTTCAACACTCACCTACAGCTTAGATTAAAACTGCACGTTGACTTTTTATGTCCTCCCCATTCAGACTAGAATTCAGCGTGGTGCCCATACTGTATACTGTTTACTCACTGTGCTGCAGAGGAAACGACCTAGAGGGGACACCAGTGATTTCACAGCACCTGGATTAGCTGCACAAATGCTGCTGATGTTATGAGTCACTGAGCCACAACAAGTCTTGATGTGGAAGCAGCAAGACATATAATACAGGTTAAGTCAGGCAAATGAACTGGTTCAACGAATGAAAACCACAGACATTGTCCACAGACCACTTTTGTCAGCATTCTCTTCTTAAAGCTTGTCTAATCTCACAACAGTCCTTATGCACTCTCAAAAATAAAGGTATGAAACTGTCACTGGGGCAGTACCGCTCTTGTCACTGGGGTTGTACCCTCAAGGGTACATCTCAGTACCTTCTGTCAGGGAACATAATTGTACCATAATCCATTGAAATTATATTCTATACACACTCTGTCTCGTTTCATGACTTTTTATTTTATTGATCTGTTTAAAACATGAGGTTATGAAAAGATACGAATATGTACTTTTCACCTGGGAAAAACTTATTTAAGGTATACAATAACACCTTAAAACCAATGCTGTACCTTTGAAGGGACATTTACATTGTTTGTACCTTGATGAACAAAAAATGCACCTGCACAGAACCTTTATTTCTTACAGTGTGAAAAAGTGCATTTGTGGGCAGGGCATGAATAGGTCAGTTACCTTGCTCATGAGCATGATGGCAATAGTCAGGAGAAAAGCACCAGCCCTACTGCTCCATGTCAACATCCCTTGATGCCCAACTAAGGATTCAAGTCACAACCTTCCCCTTCCTGGTATTAAGCCTTTACTCACTGAGTCACCGCTTCCCCCAAGGCAAGATGTCAGGAGGCACACACAGGAAATATGAGTTCCATTTGCAAACAGCAATACCTGGTTGCCCAGGCAACAGCTGGGCAAACGAACAGCGCACCTGTCTCTAAGGACCATGAGGGAGGGGGGGGTGGGCACCAGAGATGCTCAGCCTGATGTAACCATGGAAACTGATTCACTTGGCTTCCATTGACAAAATAATCATGCCATACCAAGGCTGAATTTAAAGTCGTATTTTGTACTGGGGACAGAACAAAGATAGAGAATTCTATAATGGCACACTTCGCATAACAGATAATTGAGGGGTCATTAAAATGGTATCATTACCTACATTGGAAAATAGTAGCCTGGTTCAGAGGAATGTACCCTACCTGTATTCTGTACTAACACAATTAGCCACTGAGATTCTTCATCAGCCACTCAACTCAGACATAAATTTTACAGCAGATTCATGAAAGTCCTTTTCAGCAAAGCTGACATGTACCTGACCCTTGGACCAAGGACAATTTGCTGTGCTTATGTGCAAGCTAGCAACCAAGCTTGATGACATGGACCTTACTCTCAGCAAAGAATAGTCAGCCTAACATTTGATTTAAAATTTTTAATGAAAATGTAATTAATACTGCCACATCTGTTGCAGTCTTTTTCATAGGGTGTGAGACACTCATAGTTATCGCCTTCATCTCCATTTTGATTGAGATTAAACCATTTAAGAAAAGTGCAATACTTACTCAGACGAGTCTATGAAGTATATTCCAAGAGCTCCAATACTGAGCGCAAAGACTAACACCACCTGGAGGCATAAGACAGAGAAAAGAAGAGCAATCATTAGTGATGCTCCAATGAGAATACCACCATTTACAGAAATCAGATTTAAAACAAAATCTGTTCAACACAAAGCACATCTCATCTCAGTGAAGACAGGTAGGCAGTGCTAAAGATGATAATGAACAGCCAGTTTCATATGCTAAATATGAGTAATGGGATTTTTAACTTGCTCTACTATTTAATGCTTAAAAAGTAGCTATTTCTGTCTGTTAATCTACTCTTCCCTATAATGTGGTCTTTCAGCTGTTGTATTTATTTTAATATGGAAAGAAAATACATATCAAATTAATGGGTTTTTCTTAGCACCTCAATTAGGCTTTGTTACTATTAATGAATCTGTGCATATGATTTAGAATAATACATGTGTAAAAGACTGGAAATTCACCAAGAATGTAAAATATGGGTGCATAATATATCTGTACCCAACTTATTAGTTGCCAATAAATAGAAAAATGTAATTATTACTATCTATTTGATATTAAAATTACAGCCAATAACTACACCCACATACACTCACCCACAGTTCTTTTCAAACTCAGTGAAATTAATGACACAATGGAAAAACACCACCATCTCATATACTGAAGATTAACATTTCAAATTCTCATTCACACATGACAACACCAATAAGAACACACACACACACACACTGCTACACCAACAAGAGTCCTTGGGCAAAACTGCATTTACAAAGCTGCATTTACAAATCACTGTAAATAACAATAATCGTCAGGTCTGATACAGATATGTCAAATAGGTCGCCTTTTGTTTACTCGTTTAGTTACTCATAAACAAAAACAAATCAATAACAGGCTCTTAGTGATCTGACTGCCAGTCTAAATACATTTATTCAGAAACTATCGCATCCAAAACTATTTTTGCATCCAAAATAAAGGCAGCATTGAGCTTATTTTATATAGTGATACAAAATAGCACACAGAAAGCACCAGTTCCACACTGTTAAAGGGAGAGTTAGTCTCACAGACTATATGGTAGGTAACACTACAAACCTCAATTCCAAACAAGTTGTAAATGGTAGCCAAAACACAAAGCAGTTATGGACTCCAGGTCTGGACTGCAGGCAGGCTAGTCCAGCACAAGCATGCTCTGTTGTAACAGATGCAGAATTTGCCCTTGTCATATTGAAATAAGCATGGACATTCATGAAAAAGATGTCATCTAGAAGGCATCATGTGTTACTCCACAATGTGTATACATCTTTCGGCGTTAATGACACCTTCACAGACATCTATGGGTAATTCACCCCATGACATTATGCACCATAAAAGCTAAAAAACCAAAAATCCTTGCACTCGTTGAGGAACTGTTGGAGTATTCGCTGACGTGTTTTTGGCTAAGTGGTTAGTCTCGACCTGTTTAATATATTTTTCAAACATTTTATAATGTTCCTAGCCTTAAACTTCCCCTGTCTCAACTATTTTGGAACATGTTACAGGCATCAATTTTAGAAGGAGAATATATTTACAAAAAACAATGAAACAACGTCCCAACTTTTTTGGAATTTAAGTTTGGTTAATTACATTAAAAGCTACCAGAAATCAAGAGTGTTCAAACAGCTTAACAGAAATTAGGGAACCCCAAGTGTTCAAGGAAAGCTGAATCCGGATAACAGGAAAAAAATGAAGAAAGAATAAAGCTGCCTTTAGTGTTGTTTTTATCTTTAGTGTTCAGTCACATTTCTAACAAACTCCTGAGTCACACCAACTACACATGATTTTCACTGTTCTTAGCACTTAAGGGATATAGTAGAAAAAATAGCTGCTGCTTGTCAAAGAGAGCCTCCACCTCCTCCACAGCTCACGTGTAGTCACACACACACACACACACACACACACACACAGTGTGTGTGTGTAGAGGTTCATCTCCCACAGCTGAGCAGCTCTGACACACAGTACTTTCATCTAAGCCATGGTCAGTCAGTGAGTGGACAGAAAGGAAAAGCCCTGTGGTACTGCTGCAGCAGTGGCTGCAGTCCAGTGGAGCGCAGAGCCCAGAGGTCAAATCATTTGATCTTTTCTGAGCCACCACACGTGAGATGGACACGATCACCTGATCAGGTGAAAAGAGACTACCCTTATCATATAGCCATTATGCTATGGTTCGTGGCACTCCGGCACGCGAGCACACACGTACACACACCACTGCTATCGGCTTTGCTTACCTAATGTTTCATCTATTAAAAAGAGACATCCTGCAGTAACTTGACTCTGGACACATGCTGTGCTCTAACACCGATACGCTAAGCGCTGCGTGTGCTGTGTCAAAATGATGTATGGGTGGGCTGACTTGAGGAGCAAATGCTCTACTACTGCACTATATATTACACTCTTAAAACCGATGGTTCTTCAAGTGTTCTTCAGTAAAGAAAATGGTTCTATACAGAACCATGAACTCAAAGCACCCTTTGCATGATTGATTGATTCTTTGCATATTGAAAAGGTTCTTCAGACTGGTAGAAAATGTGCTGTAGGTGGTTCTACATAGAACCTTTTTGAAAATGGTTCAACAGAGCACCCAAAGGTTCAAGGGTTCTTCTGTTGTTGCTTGTAATAATAGAAGAACCCTTTTGGGTTCTATTTAGAACCATCTATACCACATTCATTTTTCATCAATGTGAAGAATGCTTTCATGATACAAAGAGCACTTTAATCATGCAGAGGGTTCTTTCAGTGTTCATGATTCTATACAGCACCATTTTCTTTACTACAGAACCCTTGTAGCACTAAAGAGCTACTTAAATGGGCAGTGGAGTAGTAAAGCTTGTGTCAAGTTGTGCACTGTTATGTGAAAATATATGGTTGTCATGATTACATTTACATGTAATTTGATAAATTGATAATTAATCAGCAGTGATTAGCTAAGAATTTGCATGACGGTAACGCATATGTTAAATTCTCCTGCTGGTGTCTCTTACAGAAAGAAACAGTGCCTAATGGACACATTTATATGCATTTTTGCCACATATTATTTTTATTAAATTGTTTTTTAAAAGATTCCTAATATTTATATTTCCAGTAAAGTATGGTTGAATATTCATTGTTCATGAGTCCAATTGCATTTTTTGGCCTTTGGTTTAAAACTGATCAGTAGGGACTCCCAAGTGCTTGCCGTATCATCCACAGATCACAAGTTGATCTCTTGTGATGCCACAGCCATCTGTGGCCGGAAGTCCAAGAGATCATTACTGGCCCTCTCTCCACCAGCTAGTCACAGGGCTTCCATTTGCTATACAATCATGTTGTGTTAGCGGCAGTTAGAAAAAGATGCAGGGGAGTTTTGTGTGACTCTTAGTAGCATTAGTAGACCTTAGTAGCATCTTGTTATAGAGGGAGACCTAACCAGAACTAGCAGTGAGAAAAAACCTAATTACCGTATTAACTGTCAAAATGATCAAAAAGATGAATGAATAGTGACAGCACTATAACAATATGAAGCATACTACTACTACTACCTTCAAAAAACTGAGCAATCGTACTTCATGTCATCAAATAAAGCACTGATTTTCTCTAAGAAACTATTAGTGAAATCAACATCTGTAGTTCTACAGAGGAAGTGGAGAATTTACGGTACTTGTATTGAATGGCAGCAATGTTCTGAACCCTCTTTAAACTTGTCTTAGATTTTTAGAAGACCACTATGTTAGCAGATAATCTTTGCAAATTAGTAACAGCCCCAATTAAGAACTACCACAGCTTCCAGGCCAATCTTGAGCCTCTGAATGTTAACAACATAACAAGGTACTTCCAAAGTAAATCCAATACACTTTCTAACAGTAAAATTGCAGTCTGGGTGGTCATGTTTCAGCCAGCCAGTCTTAAATTCTAATAAATATACCTAAATAATATTAAGCTCACATCTGGCATTCCTTCGATTCTAAATGCACATATGCACACACACAAGTATGTCATTTAAAAGACATCAAAAAAGGTTCTGAAAACAGACAACCAGCTTCTTTTAAAAACTGTTAATAGAACAAGATCTCTCCCTGTGAAGGTTAAGTTTCGTCTGAACGGAAAAGGTCCTGATAGTGTGCTGAACGGTGAAATCGAAGGAGCTCCTGGCCGACTCTCCAGGGCCAAAAGAGCTGCTACTAACTGAGTGAATGCCTCAAACATTTAACAGTGGAAAGTGAGCAGCTCAGCACACAGTGTTTGTGTTGCCAACAATGAAGAAGTTGACAGCATGTCAGGTCAGTGGTGGGGATCTGTTCAAATAATTCAGCATGAGGTTGGAATCCTTCAGCCCTGAGCATCTATACTGAGACCTGCAAGGCCTTTTGTTCTGATTAACCCTTTGGCTGTAGTTTGGCCTGCAGCTAGTTCAAGTCATTTGAGCAGCCACTGCCAATTAATGGGTGTTTCTTAGCACCTCGATCAGCCATAGCGACTGTTGATGATACTGTGGATACCTTTTAGAATAACACATGTATTAAAGGCTGCACATTCACCACTGCACATTAGGATTGCACAGTATACCGTTGGCCGATATATTTTCTGTTAACAAACACACACACTGGTATACCGGTAAAAGTCCTTGGGCAAAATTCTCAACATAAAAAGTAATTGTAAATTGTACTGTAAATTGCAAAGAACATCTGCTAAATAGATACATGTGTACAGTAATTACCATGTCTGAGATAACTACTTCATGGTTATGTAAAATAAATCTAAGAAATATGTTTATTGATTGCTTCTAACTTCTCTTCTACCAAGGTCTGTCCACTCAGCAGCCATCTTGGCAACACCCCTAGGCATTTCCACTTACTCAAAACCAGGCTCCTATTTTTTAAATGAGAAACATATGAAAGAAACATACCTGAAACTGAAAGCTGCTTTAATGTATCAAAAACAGATTTGAAATTACTGGTAAAATCTGACAAAAATATAGTTATATATTTTGTAGTGTTTTGAATCAAATGACACACAAAATCATGTTTTTAAGGCT